TGAATGATAGGTGTTGCCATTCATTTACCATTACGGTGTTCTTTGGAAAGTAATGGCGGAAGTCTTCCTTATAAAGTTATTAAAGAACAATTGGTGTGACGCAAATGGATATCACGCAAACTTGTTTTATTCTTGAATTATCAGTTTATTTTGTCTCATTAATCTTTTATATTCCTAAACTCTGGATATTTGTATACGATTTGGTGTTCGATGTTTCCCGACGGAATTCTCACGCGTTAGGCCTAACTCCGTGTTATGTTTACAAGTATGTGAATGTTTTTTAAGTCATCATTATGGTTGCGTTTACATTTCGTATAGTGAAATGAGAAGAGTATGTCTAATTAATATGTCTTATAGAAAAAAAGTCATAATAAGAATTAAATAAAACCATTTCTTTCTAAAGATAACAGTGATAAAAGTTTTTTGGGTAAACTTGTTTTTATGGCATTCTACATAGATTATGTCATGTTGTAAATCACAAAAAAAACTTCTAGTGTAAATAAAAAGCTGTCACGTTCAAAACCTTTGGGACCAGCACGAAGAAATTGGGTGATAGGTGAGGTGACACGTATTTCACCTTTATTGTGAGCTATTATAATATATTTATATCGCAAGAAGTTTATTTGCGGTAAGTCAATTCTAGATAGTTTTATAAGCGCATTAGAAATAAACTAGCAGAGTATCAGCGAACCGCGATAATATTATGTTGTATTTTAAGCGTATACCGTATATAAGGAACGAAGTTTTAATGAGACGAACGACAGTAGAATGTTTTAATTAACAGAAAAATATCACCATATCAAAGTTTTATTAAACTCGATAAAAAATATTTGAATTTCAGAACGTTTTAATAAAGCGCAGGGTATGCTAAGCTATTCTTTTAAGGCTGCAGAAAATCAATATGTAGGGAAACTGACATGTAAATTTTTACTTTGTAGTTGCATCCAACACGACGTGTACCCAGCACGTCACACCTCTAGCATTAAAAACAAGTATGTTGCATAACAGCCGAGACAGTGAAATTTCTCTCCACTACCATATTTTGCAATACAAAACAAAATAATTCTACATAAAAAATGTATATGGGTATAAATTTTTTACAATATAATATTACTATACGTAAACAATAAAATAGGAATAATATCGTTCGTACATAAGATAGAAAATAGAATCTATTTGAACATTGGAAACCTTTTTTCATTAAAAAATCTCCATCTAGTTTGAAACGTTCTGTTGATAAATAATTCAGAAGGATTTTACGCAGCTCCTAACTTTGAGAACAAAAATTTCAACAAAACAAATATCACAGTTCGTTGGCGGTAGGCAAATAATTTAAGGTGCAATTTCCGTTTTACGAAATACAAATAGAGAACAAAAATGTAAACACAGTATGATACTAATATGAAAGGTTTATTAATTATTCCCTTTTCTATGCAGATTGAAGTGCACATAAATGAATAATTTACGGCAGTCTATGATCCTATTGATATCACGTCAGATTGAAAATTTTGTACGTCCAAGTGTAATCAACTGTCAGATATTAATTTCAATTTCAACATCAAATAGTGCATGCATAGAGAAGAGGTTTTTAATTTAATATGCCCTACTATTGAAAGATACGAGTATATGTTTACAAAGAAATTATAGATACAGGACACTTTCTATTTTTTTATTTTATTATCTTAAATTTGTATACAGAAACATAAAAAAGTGTGTTTTATTTTTTATTTATTTTATTCAAGTAAAAGTTGTAATATGACAAATTTAAGAAATAAAACAAGTTTTACAGTATGTGAATCGTTAAGCGTCTAAAAGAAAAAGTATAGAAAAAATATATCAAGTACATACATAAATACATATATAAATAAAATAAAATCCTATTAATAATTGGCGATACAATTTGGAGTTTTTAAATTTCATTTTGCAATTTTGTTTTAAATCATTCTTAATAAGTAAAGTCTCTACTTTACTTTTTTTCTCTAAAAATAACAAATAAAATAGTTATCAACTTTAGTTTACATTAAAACCATAATTTTTTTTACGAAAATGTATAAAAAAATATTACACTCCACTCGTCCCTTCATTATTTGTAACAAAAATGAAAGGAAACTTTCTAAACGACATCTTGACATAAAATATTATTCATGACATGTTAATGTATAAATTATAACAGTCTAGACAAATATTCAAATTATTAAACAGGCCAGTGAGATCATTTTTATCGACGGCAAACTACCTTTAACGAAAATATTCATAATACGCGAGAAACTATTTTATATAGAGAATGTTAATTTTTAATTTCACTTCTTATGTTTAATGTACAATTTATTTTATACATAAGTAACGCATTTAATTTCATATAATAATTGATTTTAAGTAATTCAATATGTGCACGTTTTGGGTCAACAATCACGGACGTGTGAGAATTGTAAGCATGTTAAGCCGAGAGACTTATCCGGTTTTAGTTTGAAGTAGTAATGGCCAATTAACTAATGGTAACAACAAAATAATTTACTCTGTTTAATAATACAATTTATACATAATTTAACTTCATAATTCCCTCTAATCTCAAAGGAAAACAACTGAGATCTTTTTGTAAACAACAAATTTGTTCAATTTGAGAATTCCTTAGTTAAATACAAATTAATAGTAGTGTCTAACCTATTTAATTTGTTAGCTTACAAGCTTCCTTGATTAAAATTTAAATTGCTTCTTAAAGAAAGGCTTAATCATTATCTTTCTATCAACATTTAAATACCGGATAATAGATTTTCATTATTTTCTCAAAGGGGAAAACATCGTAATCTGAGCTCTAGTCGTGAGTACGAAAGGATTAAAAAAATAAACGTTCCAGACTCCAGTAATCAACTCTGAATAAGCAAACAAACATTCAAAGGTTTTCAGAAATACATTAGCTTTTCAAATCTGCAAGTTTTAACGATTCATTTGTATACAAGATACGTTTCTTTTTGAATATTTGAAAAATTCTTTGTAAAAATCTGATATATTTGTGAATAGTATGAATTGATGTTTCTGTTTCTGTAACGGAAAAAATTAATTGGTTTCTATAAAGGCAGCGAGCAAGGCTATAAAAACATATGTATTAACTCTGTTGCAATATTTTTAAGTTTACAAAGTATTGCTTAGAGCTTTGTGTGTGCGATATGAAATAATTTAAATATTTATAGCTGTTAAAATCATTGAAAAACATATATTAAAATGTTAGTTTGAATTATAATTGAAATCGAAAAACGCTGAGTTTATAATGAATAAACCATGCACTGTGTTCTCTCATTAGTTGATATTCATACATTCAGGCGAAATATGTCACAGCAGGACATAGGCCTCCTTCAAGGATCTCCACGACGACCGGTCTTATGCCACCCGCACAAGATATTAAATTTGAATTATTAATGAATTTTCGCAAATCAGGAAATAACTGTTTCTTGTAAATCTCAGTGAAACAGTTTCATTTTTACCATATAGTAATAACAATAAGGATTATTTCCTTTTTTAAATCCTATCTGCTTTGTTGAACTTTGTTTTCAGATAGGCCAACTGATATTATTCGAAATACAATATTCATTTAGTATTCAAATGTATGACCGACATTCTCAAATGTCTAACAACGTAATTCAATTCCAATGGGAATTTTTTGTACAATACTCCCTCGATATTCTTTTATAAATACATTATAGCCAAAGTGAGGTTCTTGATATTCAATTTAACACCATAGGTTTCATAATCATATTTTGACACCACGACGAATATGAAGTTAATATGATAATTTAGTGAAAATTTGTTTAAGTTGACATAACATATGAATTTGTTAATTTTGCGATTTGTTAGGAAACGACACGTTATATGTATATTGAATATCAATTAATCATTTAAATGAAACCAATATTTTCGGATTTACCACGCGTTTTTTTTATTTTTGACTATAAACTACATATTCCCAACGTTTCGTTTACTTTACAGCAACCTATTACTTTACAGTAAATATTACTTTCATTTAAATGAGAACTCGCAAAAATATTAGATCTTATCAATTAATCATGCTTAGCATCTGTATTGAAAATAATAAAAAAGTACAACAAAAATTACGTAATAATGTACTTAACTTTTAATAATAATATAATTTTGGTATTATATAGAATTTGTTCCGAGTAGAATGTTAGCGTAAATTTTCCTGTCATACAAAGTTTCGTGCATTTATACGATTTTCGATACAATGCGAATTTGTTTCGGTGTATTAAAAAATATTCTCTGTGATTAAATTGAGAGGATTGATGCGAGTGTACTAAAAAAAACATATTTTAAAACACGACCGCATGAATTTAAAACATGAACCTAACATAATATTTATATGAATAATTTTATTGGATTTAGTATATTGTTAATCTCAATCGTGTTGTTTTGGTTGCCCGGTTCCGTTCAATGTCGGTCAACTCAGCCGGCGGTAAGTGAAGCGAGATTTTACGGACGAATGCGGATGCTTGTGACGCAATATCACTTTTACTTGAACACACGTGATGGTTTATTCGCCTTCTTTTATTAACTTTCATCACCGCTATTATATCAAAATTTATATTCGATACAAAAGTATTACACGTCAATTACTTAATACAGTTATTTGTTTATGGTGTTGATTTTGCAATGCTTTTTTTATTACTGTATTACTTAGGCTTTAAATTATAGCCGGTTATTGATTTAAGCCGTCGAACGTTTTCGCTTAGTTGTTATGCTGCGGACGGTACATTACAAGTTTTACTATTTATTCGTTTATAGAATTTATACTCAATCGAATCGAATTGGAACGTGGGAAAGTAAGATGTGTACAAGGAATGGGAAATATTTGTCTGATTTCTTGTTTTACTTTCAGTGTTTAGATGTTTAAGGTGAAAGATGTTGATTTGTATAAAATGAATGCTATTCGAAAATAATTTAATATTCCGAAATAATAAATTTAATACAAAATTCCACTGTTATTTCAGAAAATGCGGGAACTATTTCTTTGTGCCTTGCTGGGATTAGCAACTGCCAGAGAGAATGACTGGCAGCCAATTGTTCCGGAATCACCGTTACTGTATACAAGCTTCTCGAAACCCGAAAGAGCTTTAGATTCTAGGTAAATTGTGTTCTGAGTATTATAAATATACATATGCATATAAAAAACTAGTAGCTTTTGTTGCATATCCACATACAACAACATAAAAGTATAATTTGAAAGCTGTTCAATAGGTTGCATCAACACACACACACACGAACATATCCGTATACAATGCAATAACAACTAAAGATTGTATTTGTCTAAATAGCTTTGGCTTTTGTAACATCAAAGAACAATATAATAACATTCTTGGAAATAGAAACTTTGTAATTAATTAAGAAGATAGCTAACATTATTTAACATAACCCCTTGAACAAGTTCTTGCAATTGTAAACAATGTTGTTCATTTAATTCAAATACCTGTATAAAGGAACTATAACTTTGATAGTCTTAACAAGCCTCACGTCTAGAAACTTAGTGAAGTTCAAAATAAACACTTAGACAGCTCTTCCACAGAAATGGTTTAAGAGGATAAAACTTTTCACTGAACCTGCCTTGTTATGCAATGTTTTACTTTTGCTTATGATAGGTTCTAACAACTCTGTACAAGATCCTCTGTTAATTAATATATTTACAGAGAAAAACAAGGCTGATAACGATTAAATTCAAAGCAAGCTTAGAGCATCTTTCTTTGAAAATATATATAATAGCCTCCGGATTAACAGTAATGACGGCATTAAAGTTTTAATTTATAGAAATAATTAACTATTTTTATTTTTTAATTAATCTCTAAACTTTCATTATTCAGATTGTTATTAAAAATGACACATACACTAAAATACTACATGTTTAACTTATTATTACGAAATAACATGGCTAACGCATGAGATATAAAAAAATACTGCTTTGGTGAAATCGCTTAAAAATCTGTTTAAAATAAATTACGTCAAAAAATTACTAATAATAATTAATCAATCAGCGTTTAATTGACACGAAATCTCTTTCATATTAAAAGGATCTTCGATGACTTGTATTGTATTTGATTTTTTTTATAGTTTGTTAAAGATCGTGAACCGAAGACCAGTCCTACGACCGTCTTATAGCAGCAAGCCAAACCCTTATAGCTCAGCGCCAGCTCCGGCAACTGATTCTTGCAGCGTGTATAAAGTTTCCATGAACCAAGAATTACTCTACCAGTATGTAGAATACGAGGCAAATCTGCCAGATTTAAAAGAATTTACCTTATGTATGTGGAGCAAGTTCCATAATCATAGCGATGATCATCCACTATTCTCATATTCTGGTGAGTACCAAAATAAATTTTTTACTAAAAAAATTATACATATATTTTGTTTTTATCAGTCATGGTTTTAAATGGATAACAAGCCACAGGATTTCCTTTAATCAAAGAAAACTAATTGCCCTCCTTTATTCGACCGATAATCATTTTCAACGAGTTGACCAATTTTGCTTCGGATGCATTAAATCAGAAACTGGTTTGAAACATGTTCCAATTACCAAATTAAGACGAAACTAGATGAAATATTAAAACGACGTTCATATGTTTAACACCAATTAGAAGTCGTTTTATAACATGAACCAAATAATATGAAATTTGTTCAACAACAACTGAGTATTCATTTTAGTGAAATCTCATAGGAGAATAAATTAAATTATAATATACTAGCTTTCCGCCCGCAGCTTCGCCGCGTGGAGTTCGGTTATATCGCGTTTCCAAGAGAACCTTTCAAAAGTCTGGGATAAAAACTATCCTATGTTCTTTCTCAAGGTCAACACTATCTCTGTACCGAATTTCATTAAAATCAGTTCAGTGGTTTAGGCGTGAAAGCGTAGCAGACAGACAGACAGACAGACAGACAGACAGACAGACAGAGTTACTTTCGCATTTATAATATTAGTAGGGATACTCTTGTTATCGTTTCTATATGTAGTTTATTATTTGAGTCACAAAGTTTTAAGTGGAATCCGATTTAGAAAACGACATATCTAATTCATTCGTATTAACTTTCACTGTCATATATATTCATTGCACATTACAAATCGTCTACAGACTTGTTTTATACAATTCGGTTTACTATGTAGAAATATATTTTATGAATAAAGAAACAATTATTTAAAAAATAAAAAGTCTATGAGAATAATAATGTTACAATTTAAATTTTAATTAGACCTGTATGTTACTCTAACCTACATATATTGACTGTTACGACAAAATGTAAGACAGTTTTGGGTTCTATTGCATAAGAAGCAAGTCGTGACGCAGCCATTACTGACCATATAATTCTATAAACCAAATTAATCGGACACACGACGCCTTGGGCTATTTCACATTATCGAAGGCAGTTGAATATTTATATTGGAATACGTAAAATTACATAATTGTAATAACACTAAATAAATGAATCGTAAACAGCGATAGTTTTAATTTAACTAGAGGCGAAATTAATATTGAAATCAAATATGAGCTCATTAAATCAGAATTAATTAATTTGACTCATTGTTCTGTATGTAATATTCGAATATAATTTTTCGGAATGTCGACCTGATTTATTATGGACAGGTACCGTACAGTGGACGGGTTATATATCTAATGTTAAAATTCATAGTTTATTTAATATAATATTACGTAATAAACTTAGAACGTACATATAGTACTGCTATTGAGAATTGGTTACTGTAAAACTATTCTAATTATTCATTTATATATAAATGAATATTATGCCAAAGTGTTTTAATAAATATACTAGGCTTTTAATATTAATATACCTTTGAAGACTGAAATTATAATTATGTCAAAGTTCTGTGATATTTCGTATTAAGATGGACACTGCTCTATTAGCGAGGATTATCTGTTTTACATATTTAATATCAATTATGCCATAATTAGGACCTTCGTCTGTATTAATAATTCCAGCTATAATCCGATGATCAAATTCCTGGAAATTTCTACTCATTATTCAGATAGCCTTTCCCTTCTAGGACATGTATTAAATAAGTCCTGGCATTCCCTTAATTGACCTATTTTAATATCAATTATGAAACTAAATGAAAATTCTAGAAGCATCCAATTATTATTCTATTACGTTTCCAGGTACAGGTACAATATTAATTTTAGTTACAATGAAAGTAATATAAATTTGTGTATATTTTTTAATTCTAGTGGGAACTAATCCAAAGGAAATATCGTCCTGGATATCAAACACAAAAGAGGCTAGCTATTTCAGTATGGCGGTGCACGGACAGACATTCTTCAGGCTAAATTACCCTTTGAAGCTTAATACGTAAGTTCGATTTAAATATTATTTCCTATATGAGCTGCAATACATATATTTATAATAGCTATATCATACATTTCAAAGATATTTCAGTTTAATCACTAAGAGTTACAATTATATATGGCTGTATGATTTCAAATACAAATTGTTAGTGTGCCATTCGTCGTTCTATAATTTTCATTTACAACTATGTCGCTTTACGTTGTAGTTGAGAATTTCCTTTATATAATTTTGGTATATTATTAATGAAATACGTTGCTCTGTTTTATTAAGGATAGCAATAATAAATAATGTTTATTCCTTTAAGACAAGTCATAACTTTATTATCTCCTTCTAATTGTATACTCAGTTATTTAAACATGTATATACATCAATGTTTTTATTGCCACAAAATTCCACGAAGCGAAAATTTTGCACGCCATGTTATACTTTAATTAGACAGAAAATTCAGTTCAGCTTAATTAATTATTTTTTAATAAACATTTAATATTTTCATGATAAAATCTGAGTTCATGAAAACATACCTTACATTTTCAATATGAAGTAATTTAAGTCTTATATTTTATGATATTATGATAAAGTGGCTTCTGGATTTTGATCTCAGACGATCTATCGGTGTAAGTTTATAGTTATAAGATTAAAGGCAAGGAGGATGAAATTGACCTCTGAGGGTAATGAGAAGCTTGACTCGATTATCTACAAGCTCTGAATACATACCACAATTTCTTAGCTAAATGAGGTGAACTCTGATAGCCAATGAAGCTTCCACATCATTTTAGCATTAAATGAGTCGGAAGCAATCAACTCTACTGTCTCTTCAACTTATTTAACACTATTTATTCCTAATTATGAATAATAACACAGAAATAATAAGTGCAATCTCCTGTCTTGTGTGAAGATTTTTAATACTAAATACCTAGATAAAATGTATATTCTGTTTAAAAAATAAACGCGTTGAAAAGTAAATTCAACTTAAAATTGCTTATATTCTAAATTGACTTCCGACGCAACTAATTTTGTACCACCATCATTTGAATTTGTTGGTTTTGAAAATAATGTTAAATTTGGTAATAATCATGTATAAATTTAATTATATTGTTAATAATTTTAAGTATTTTGTATATCAGATTGAGTGACAGATAGTTTTATTTTATAACTTGAATAAAAATAAGTAATCTGTGTATATGTATGTCAAATCTAAATTCCTGTTATAAAACACTGAGGTAAGATACCTATTAGTAAAACATTATTTGATAAATAGCATTCGCACATTTTACGCAGTTTTTATTCTAAACTTTCTATACAAAAGGTTTTTGTACGTTTTTATTATTTTTGTAGGTGCTATATGAGTTCAAATGTTGCTAATAATGCACAAAGTATATTTGTCTACAACAAACATCACACTAATATATCAGTTTTCGTTTTATATGATTCTATAATTATAATATATGAATTATTTAATACCATTATTAATATATCTATCAGTCGAAATTAACAAACGAAACATATAGAGAATGTATACGTGTTTATTATTAATGTAAAACTCAATCCAAATATGAATTGAAGTAGGGCATATTAAAAGCATTCATTTCCACGTATTCCCCATGAGAGACTGATGAAGCATTACGTAAAGTAAATTTATTGATATTGCAGCGTGTGACGCATTTCCATTTACGAACCCAACCTACATTACATAAACGATAATACCATGTACATATAACTACGATATTTGATATTGATTTGTATTGTACGGTACAGAGAGGAATTATATTCAGATATTTTGACTAAGGATAACTGGTTTGACTTTGATATCTAGCAGAAAAAGTATGTTGCAATTCATTACCAGTTGAATTCAATTTCATTTAATTTATTTACTGAACTCGTTTTGTCAAATATTTATGAGATCAATGTTAAGTTAATTACCAAAACATGTTCGTAACTGTATCAAGTGCTTAAATTGATTTCAAGCATGTGCAAATCTATATTTGAGATTCGTGCAAACCAGTTGAGATCTATTTCGTAATTGCTTTTACGATGTTTCTAATTAATTAATATTCAATACTGTTGTTATGAACTGAAGATAAATCTTTAATTAATTAACTTTCAGTCAATAGCTATTATGCTGATGCACTTCCCTGGTACCATGTGCTTTTATTTCAATATTAAGTATATGATAAAAAACTGAGATAGGAAAAACTGACATAAAAACTGACAAAAACTGACGTAAGGTGGCACTTCACTTGGCATTTATTTGTTGTGTTCGGCCAAATTAGACCATGTGTGGAGGATTTATTCGTCTCCATTTGACATATTTGCACAAATAAGTGAAAACGCCGATTCTTATCCTTTGGCCTCCTTTGCTGTTGGCATGCCAAGTGTGGATGTCGTGTTTGCGCTATTTGGACTACGTAAAAATATTTTGACAAACGCGGCGAATACGCAACGTCAAGTGAAGTGCCACCTTAAGGCGATTTTGTGCGTTAATTTTGGGCAGATATAAAATAGAAATGACATTTCATGTGTTGTCAGTTATTTAATTCTTATTAGTAATATGGAAAAACGGCAATTTTTCTGCAAATGCTATTTTAACATATGTATACTATTAAAAATTCTGTTTAAAATATTATTTTTTTAGAAATCACATTATCTGACTAAATTATATTGATTGATCACTGGATACATTAAGTTATTTTTATCAACTCCTATGGCCATCATGCTTGTAAGTTTGTTTCAAAACTTCTTTATAGTATAAAATAGTTATAAGTTAGCCATCTTAAATTATGATAAAAAAATGTTGTTAAATATGATATGAAGTTAAAAAAAAAGAGAAACCAAATTAGTTTCGTATACTTTTCTCAGTATTAATTTTGTTGCGATAAACTTTAAAAATCACGATTCCGTACAGAATTTCTTTGTATATTTACGTTTTTTACTGTCTGATATGTTATTCTTTATTACTTAAGAATATATTAATTACAAAGTTTGGTTTTTTTATTTTTCATATTGATTTAAATCATAAGTACAGAATTATTGGTCTTGTCCTGGCAACACTGTTGCCTTTTTTAGTTTAAAATGTGAACTGCCTTTACCTTTGCCATACATTTTTGTTGTTGTATGTGTGATAATAATATAAAATATGTTGTGATTTTATGAGTCCAATAGTAAGAAATGAATCTAAAAGCTTGATTGTAAAGGAACTACATGTATTATAAAATATCTATAGTTAGTAAAAATATGACCATGTGTTTTAAAACTGAAATTATTGATTCATCACACCAAATAAATTTTCTTTAATGTAATTTTATTTGATCTGAAATACTTATGACAGAATTGTATTATTTGTAAATAATTTATCTACATTTAACTAAACTAATCGTACATCCTTGTTGTATTGGTTTTGTTTTGTGAAGTTGAATAAGCTATTTAAATAAAGTTTGAAGAAAGAGTCAAAAACTTCTTGAAGTACATACTCTTTCTATGGCCGTGCGAGTGCTTTTCGCCAATTATTAAATACAAACTTATATCTGGTACTTTACGAATCTCAAATATAATACTCAATATTTTATGAAAGTTTAATTTTTAGACTCCAAGTCGAATAATTATCAGATTATAGTATATTTCGAGATTATAGTCGAAGAAAAGAGTCTCTTATTTTATTCTGTTTTTGGTTACTAATAGCGACGATCAAAACTGATAAATTTATGTTCAATAAATTTATTTCATATTACTTTCTAAAGTTTTCTCCAACTCTGTTACTTACCCTCAACTTTTTAACATGAAATCCAGTAAGGCTCATAGCGTTTTTTAATTATAAAAGCTACAATAATTTTATTTATTAATCCAAATTATTTGGCATTTTATTTAATCATGATATTATTTATGTTTACGACAAAAAACTAAATACAAAATTAATAATCAGCTTTTATGTTATTAAATTCGTAGTTTCATTATGAATTGAAATTTGAAAATGGGATTTTGATTTCGTGTTATATTCGTGTAAACTGTAAAGGCCGACTGAAATTTAATCAGGTATGTTTGTGGAATACAGTGTGTTTATTGGAATTAGCTGCGTGTCTATCTGTTTGTGTATTTTGAAAGGCTTATTACGAATGTGTTTCGATTCAAATGTTTTGAATGGAAATATCAATGTATCTATGCCTTTATGATTAGTTTCTTGTTATTAGAAGTAAATAAAATATATCACACGTTTTTCAACTATTTTATTTTTCTAATGTATATATAATTATAATATTTCAAGTACGTAGATGTTACAAGAAGGAATTATGTTTAAATGCACGTTCTGAAAAGCATTCTTTTTTAAGATTCCTATAAATTCTTGTAAGGTTGGTTACATACTTAAAATATTATAAAATGTATATTCAGTTTCCACTACTGGCATTCGATCTAATTTTCAACTACTATTTCAATTAGTCTCCACTCATACAATCAGATGACATCTTTCGGAGACTTTAGTGTTTTCACCACAAACATTGTTGTGAGAGTCAAAACTTACATAGTATTATTTTAAGAATGAAAATTGTATCATGCGAAGTTCAATTGAATGCATTTTAAATTAACCGATTTGTCAAAAGAAGGGAATAATCACTGGAGGAAACGCAGTCCTAGTTTAAGAACAGATACATATGTATAGATAGTTTTAGAACAGATACATAGTCTATCTATCTATCTAGTTTTAGAACAGATACATCTGAACAGATAAATCGGTTAATTTAAAATGCATTCAATTGAACTTCGCATGCTACAATTTTCATTCCTAAAATCGTTCTGTTGGAAACACGCCCTAATGCTCTTAATCCTAAAACATTTTTTTTTAATTTTTTTCATATTTTTTAATTCTAAAACGCAAGCATTTTTTTTCATTTTTTTTATATTTTTTATAAGCATTAGCACGGAGACACCAATTAATCTAGACTATACGCAATTTTATTATTTGTCAACGTCGTCACGAGGATAAAAGAAGATTAACTGCCGAATTGAACACATTTAAAGTTCAAAAAACAAGAACAAATCTGAAGAATCAAATACTTTACAGTTAAGTTCAGAATGAAACTAATTATATAAAAATATGTAAGAAAAAAATAGGAATCTTTTCATAAAATTAGTTCGAACAAAGCTATGTTTGGAGTGACTGAACGACTGTTGACAGAGAAAAATTGTCGACTACTACAATACAGTTAACTACGACTTAATATTATTAATATTAGGTTACACATATTTACACATGTTCCATTAATTATAACACAGGCCTAGGACATAATATTATGTCTATTAGATATGTATGTAACAATTATGTTGTACAAGGTATGATAGCCTTGGGTGGTACTCTTATTCAATATGTTCAACATATACATACTCTTTTATACTTAACTAACACATGTTCCACTTATTATAACATAAGCATAATGTCTTTTACATAGAAGTCACCTCTTTGTCAGATATAATGATGTTGGTTAGCACTTTATAATATCTAAAATTACCTTATACTTACTCATGTTCCACTAATTATAACATAGATTTTTCATTATATGTTAATTCAATAGTCTTTTCGTTAGATGTTAATTTATATTCCTTATATCGTCATAGCTGTTTCGTATGATATTTTTCATAGCATGTAATGAATTATTCGTAATCTAGTTGGTGTTTGGGACATGGTAAGAACCTGTGATTACAGCAGCAACTAATCTTATGCCTTGCGCATGTTTCTGTAATTTGGTTACATGCTATGCATAAATAAGACAAGGACTTAGTGAGTCCACTGTCTGAATTCCCTTGTAAATTACTCTGTAAATATAAACAAAATCAATAATTACTTCATAATTTATGTCGTTTTTTACGTATACATATAAAATATACAAAAACGATGAAAACGGTGTAGCTATTTATGAGCATACGGATTTTTATAAGGATTACAGAAATAGAAGCTAAAATTAGCATAATTTAAAATACAATATAAGAAATTCGGTCAACCAGTTAGATCTTTGCATACTTGATATTTTTTATTACCTTGCTAGTTTGTATTGCTTTTTTCGTTAATATTTCAACAAAATATGGAAAACAGGACAACATCAAAGGACCTGATTCGTTAGAGATTGTCTTGAAATTATAATCCTTTTTTTACCGTACCCTCATAATTAATAAACAGTACAAATTAATCCAATTTAGCATTACAAACAGGTAAAAGTATAATTTCTTAATGAAAGAATAAAAACAGGATAACTCATTAATATAATGATCAAAACAATTTCGTGGCGAGGCCTCATTTGTTATATATTTTTGTTTCAGTTGGTATCACTCTTGCCAGTCATGGAACGGTAAAACAGGAGAATGGCAGGTGTGGGTGAATGCTGAGAGAGTAGGCAGAGGTTTTCATAATCGAGTAAGCATCTTAACAACCATTTACTTATAAGTTATATAAGTATTTCTTCATTTATTTTAAATACTATATGTAACTTTTTTAGCTCGTTGGTCATGTAATCAAAGGAGGCGGAACTAGTATAACTGGACAAGAACAATCTCTTCTGTACAAAAAAGATGGCGCTCAACCTATAATAAGTAAATTAATAAGAAATACATTATAATATATATATATTTTTTGAATTTTATTTTTAATAAACATTGAACCTGTTTTTGTACAGAACAATCCGGATTGATTGGGGAAGTTACTATGCTTCAATTGTACCACGTCGCTTTAACAGCGGGAAAAGCCCACAGGGACCACAAGCATCACCACGTCCATCACTTTAAGCACGACGGAACTCCATTGGAAAGTACATCTGAGCCAGGTACAGAAGCACCTGAACCTCCAGCAATTCCCATTGGCAACGGCAACTATTTAATCGGAGGTCAATTGCAAAGACCTGCTGATCTAAATTTGGCTCAACCTCAACAAATGGTGCCGGCTAAACTGGCCAATGGTCTACAGTTTCAACAAGAGTATGTCAATGGACAGCTAGGAAACAGAATAGTTTCAGAGCAATTACTCAACAGTGTGCAATCTTTGCAAACCAACCAAATTTATGGAGCTAGTAATAAACAGTCATCCTTCCTTGCCTTACCAATATCGACATCAGTTGGTCAAAGTCAAAGAAATCCAACAAGAACCTTTGGGCCAGCGAAAGGTACTACGGTTCTTCTGTCAGGATCTCTCATTAATCCTGCTAATGTTCAATATATCGACGATATAAATAATTCGCATAATCTCTATAAAAGGGATTCGAAGAAACGAGACAAAAGAGATAATCCAGAAAAAGAAGTATCTGATGAATTAAGGATGGGTAAGTTCCATACTTTATTTCAAGTATGATTGAAATATAACACATGCTGTTGTTAAATTAAATTCTAATCATACAGGCAAAAAAGACAAACGAGGACTCGTTTCTCTGTCCGACGGATCCATTGTCGACGAAGCACTACTGAGTCCAGATCTTTTTGATACTAAAGAAGACGAAATTCTCTTCCAATTATCACTTCAGAATGGTTTAGCTGGTGTTGTAGGAAATCAACCCGTACAAAACTTACAAAGGATGAACGTAAGAACTATTCTTTAATATAAGAGTGAACTAAATGACATTTTTGTGAAAGCGCTTATTACTGCCATACCAGATATCTAATATCATAAACCTAAAGATAGAATGTAATATTATAAGTAATATAGTATGGACCCATTTCATTTATTGTAAATATTGTTCATGTTTTTACAGGTCGATGAAAGAGAACCTGCAGAAGCAGAAGTTAAAGCAGTAATGGAAGTATGCAGTGGTTGCACACCAGAACCTTTCAAGAAAGCGCTTATTTTGTCCTGGAGAAATACACCCAAGAAACTCTACAGTGGGGCACATTATTACAAAGGGTTACCGATTTGTCGAGCATTCTAATTTAATAAAACAATAATTAGATTAGGTAAATTGTTAAGACCAATAAGAGAGTAATGCCCACTATGTTATAAATATATTTTTTATAACTTCACATGGGATTGATGCTGGTTGTTATGTAATAATTTTTTAATATATGAATACTAACAATACTTTTAGTTTCCAGTACTTGGACTTAAAAAGATAAGTTTTAAAGATGTGAGCCATATTAGAAAAATATTTTTGTATTCTAAGCAAATAAACATGTACACAATAAGGACGACGAAAGTAGTGTTAATCGCTCCACTAAATTTTAGTTGAACAAAATTCCTTAACAGTTTACAATAGCTTCACAATTCTCATGATATTTCATATAAATACACGTCTTTGCTTTTTTGTGACATTTAATGTAACAGCTACATTATATCAAAATACCTGAATAGACATTTTAAATAGCACTTCAAGCTTGCCATCACAAATTATTTATTATAGTAAGTAAGTCAGCAGGTTTTGCTATAAATATATATATTTTAGTTTTAAGTTTCTAACCAATCTGTTACCATTCTTTTAAATATGTAATGTAATAAATGAATATTTTCTTTTCGTTAATTAATAACTGAGAAATTCTACAACTTGCATTTTCAATTATTACGAACCTCCACAGCGCCACTAAATTTTTAGATGTTTTTTTTTCAGTTAAAAATTTGCTGAATCATTTCTTTTCGGAATTTCCTCTTTATATATTTTTTTTATAGAGCACCTTTTAAGAGTACAGTTTTTCCTTTTCGTGAGTCCAATTGAATATCCACTTATCATCAATTTGTGCTCTTTCTTTGTTAGCAAAAAAGCATTCATCATCAAATCTATGTTTCGATTATGATCTGTTTCCATTTTTGCGTAGAAGTATCATAACGTAATATAATAAAGAGAATAAATTACTGGAAAATAAATTAGGGTGAAAAATTTTACGCGAAAAATCCCGCACTTTCAATCTGTTTATATGCCTGCCGATTTTCATTTTAATAAAATCGAGTGTAATTAAGTTGACCGCTTCTTGCATAATTTTTGTGAAGTATATATAACTACTTTATCTAGGTAGAAAAAATATTTTTAGTAAGTAAATAGAAAAGTTGCGTAATAAATAAAGAGATAGAAAGATAGAAAATTGAACAACTAAAAATTATGTAAAGAATAGTTGGTAGGTACTTACCTTACAATAAACGTCGAATGCTAGATGTGATAACGATGAATGGTAATGGAAATAGCATTATCATGAAAAATAAAAAATTCAGTTGATATTAAATTAATGACAAAATGAAAGTTATTTAAATCAAACCTTTGTACGAGATCTTTCACAAGAAAGGAATTTAATCAAGACGAGAACTGTAAATAGAGTTGAAAGGTGTGTGCAATAATGAAAATTGTATCTTAAAAACGCGGGTAAAAATTCATGATTCTCAGATTTTTATAAACAATAAAAATAGAAATTTATATTTTTATAAATATTATAAATGGAATTGTAAAAAATATAAATCGTCCTGCTTGAATTTATCTGATCGTAGCGCACTCTTGAATTCCACTAAATAAAAAATAAGTCTTATTTCAATTAAAATAAATTAAAATATTTGACCTATTTGAAAAAAAAATGTCTTTTTTAAAATGTGAACGAATGAAGTGTTAATAAAAATTAACATACAGTGACAATGATAGCACTGAAAATTGTAGTATGATATTTTGATTGAATGAATTAAAAGTAAAATGACTGTAAAATTAGAAAAGACATAAGCCGTTGTAGTTTTTGAACTTACTTTGCTCTTGTTATGGACATGTTGGTGATGGTAGTCCGAGTCGATTTCAGGTTCGCTGAAGTAGTTCTGGTCCTACGAAAGATATAAGTTAGATTTAACTTGGTTGTATACTCCATATAAATATCTTGATTATGAAGTTCAGGTAGGATTATTTTAAATTATATCAAATTAAATATGAAAGTATTTGGACTTTTACACAAACGTTACTGGGTTTGGGAACGATGGATTTACTTAAAATATTTTAGGACTTCACGTTTTTATTGAGATACTAACCTGATCCCAGGACGAAGTTGAAGGCATGGCCAAGGAGCCAGCCCCGACTGCACCGGGGAAGACTCCTCCACCCATGTCTGTTGCCTCAAATAGTCGTAGTACAGAGCGATCACGAATATCCCGTAGATGTGCCCTGGTTACAAAAACAATGACCATGTAGCGTAATATACTGGGAAGTCATAACAACAACAGCATTACTAAAGAATGTACTCAACATAGAGTTCGTGTTGACGTGTTCTAATTTTGCAAATGACAGAAGAATGAAATGCAACATTGTTGCCGAGATAAGCTAAGTGCAGTATAAGTGAGGGTGTTGCAGGTAAACCATTGCATAATAAAATACAGCAAAGTTATTGCATAATTAGGTCTGCTGGAAATAGAACAAAGGACTGTACAACTACTGCTTGCTTGAATTAAAAATATGAGTTTGACTACTTAATTATTTAGAAGTAGCGAAGTAAACAGTACTGAGCCACAAGACTAAAACCGTCCTACGGTCCTGATCACGTTTTTGAATCCAAAAAAAATTACATACACTAAATGAGGTGTTTAAAACCATCTTAATTAACATAATTTTAAAACCCGAATTTTTAGAAATCACTAGATCAACTATAATAATTTTCAACTGTAGGAGATAAGTTCTAAACCCTTTATTTGTTTATTGTTTTAAGTATTTAACACTCACAAAACTGGTTTATCATTTAGTCAAAATTTATCACTCTGACAACAACCCTCTTAGGATTCGATTTAATTAAAGTTATTTTTAAACCAGCTGTTTACTATAACGTGTTTGTTAATTCGCTCCTAAAAAAAATTGGGACCGTTTCTATAAGTAAATACAACTAGACTCAGATCAAATTACAGTCCGGCAACATTTTACACATAGGAATTAATCAATCTGGACTGGCGTTGTTTTCTGTACATATCGATCACTATTCGCAATTCCAGCTGTATTGTGGATTTAGCCCGAAATTTCAATTAATATAATTTTGAATTCAATTGTCAATTCAATGAATGTGTGTCAGATTGTGCAAAGTAATAAGCTTTTAGGCGCATAGCAGAGTTATTAGTCCGTTCCGGATTTACAGAAATATAATATACATTGTATTGTGTTGCGACTATTATACTAATAGTATCAAGAGAAAAGTTATTGGACTCGAGAACAAAGTTACATGTAATTTTAAATAATTTTCAAGTGGTTGTAATGAAATAAAGAAATTGCTTAAAGTTACACGACTCTGTGTCTTAAGTCTTTAGAATTATCAAGCAAAGTTTTATAAGTTGATGTGACATGCTATAGTAAAATTATTGATTGTAATCAAAACTATTAGTAAAATTTTCCCTATTTAAAATATTAACTCGTATGAATCACAAGTGCGTCAATTATTAAGTAGTTTTTGGACGCGGAACATAAGTTCATATACAGATTGATAATTTATTATATTTATTTCAGTTTAAAAATGAAACATGTATTTTTTTAAATACAAACATCATAGTATTGATATTTTTAATTAAAACTGGTTAACTCGTTTTTGGATGGTCGTTTGTTTGTATGTTAAGCCAATTAAGCAATATCTTTTACTCAGTTGGTAAATACTAGATATGTAAATATTGAATTGACTGTGTTTGAAATAAATATATTAGGATTGTTAATTGGCTGTCTAGAGTCAACAGTATAGAAAACTAAATCCATTTATGTTTAATACTGGCAAAATATTTTTTGATAACCCCTCTATATTATGTATAGCTTATTGGAAGGGCATAGTGATGATTATTTTGTTTAATAAATTTTGTTATTTTTTTGACCCGTTTGACGTATTCCAAAAAATGTTTTAAACCTTATTTTTTATTTTATAGCCAGATTTTTTATATTTTTATTAATCAATTATTAATTATTATTCAATGTTATAGAATATTAATAAATAATTTATTTCTAAATATTACAGCACTAAAGTCTTTTATATGTTAATGAAATTAATTTCTTTCGTGATGAAACTATTTCAAAGTAAAACATTGTTTGAACAAGCAACAACAATGTATGTTCAACAAGTTAAAGTGGTTAAGGGCTTAAAGTCGTAGCTGGCTATTAATTCGATGGACCCGGCACCCGCACGGTGAATCTACGGAACGATGAGAAGTTTCGTCCATTTAAATTTGACACACGGATATTCAAAAAATACGTAATTAATATTTTTTTATTACAGTCAAATATACTATAAACTTCAAAAAAGTTTGATATACTTTTATCAGTTTCATAGAATCATTTCGCACTTTAACCGTCTGACCTATTAACCTTTATTTTTCATAATGTCATCTCACTTGGTAGCATCTCCATCTATTTACTTATTAATCTGGCTATTACCGATCATTTATTTAAACAAATTGTTAAATTTTTATATATCAGCTAATAAAAGATGGAATTAAATCGTATGCTCCTATCTGATGTTCCGTCGCTGTTTAATTATTAATTTTTATTTTTAAACTGATGGATAACACTTAAATTCATACGAATAGACAGTCTATATGAATTGAATCATAAATATAAATTGATATCCTTATTATTAAACTTTAAAAAAAATCGAATAAAGCTTTCTCAATATTTCTATAATGAATATTCTATACAATATCGTATCGTAAAAAAAAATATTGAATCAACTTACGGGCATCGATGATCGTGAACGTGGATGATACCTTCTTTAGGTTTCATTTTTAACTCACAAGTTAAGCGCGCCAGTTTGGCTAGCTAGATTCGAGAGCAGCAAAACGAAAACCTTACCGAAGGGAACACCGGCGGTAAACTGATATTTCTGTTATTTCCCGCGCTGGAGGAAGCTACGGCGCAAGCCGGGAACGCCCTATCACCTCGCTCTATCTCCTATCTTTATTATATATATACATATAAAATTTTGTTCAAAAATAGAAAAGGGCACCGTGTTTTCGTTGTAGCTAATTACTTATCTGATACTATGATATAATGTTTCTAACAATGCAAGGCAGGTTTAGCTTAAAAATGTTTAGAATATATCGTAAGATATCTCAATTAAGAAGTCAAAATTTTTACTAATGCACGAATTATTTTGTTTCATATAAACGTTTAATTTTATTTTTACTGGATGCAATATTCTACTTATGTTCGCCTAAAATTGAAAACGTTGTTTCATTTTTTAAGTGTTTAGCTTGTTTTGCTAATAGGACAATTACTCAAATCACGGCTGTATAGAAATTGCTACAAAAGTTTTCAATATTTTTATACGTATGAAAACAATATGATTTAAAAATGAATTTCTATAAATCGATGGACTTTAATAAATCTAGATAAAATATTTCATACCGGTAGGTTTTATAAACGTGAATTCCCCACGGCTAAGTATTTCGTGAAAATATTTTCTTTGAATTCAATAAATTTATAAAACGAAAAAGAAATGTTGAGAAAACTTTATAAGTTTCAGATATAGAGGATATTAAATGTCACATATGATTTAAACAACTATAAGGGTTGTCGTTGGCATTGCATAAAAAGATCACTCTGTATTCTTGTGTCTGGATTTGCATATGACTTTATGAAAATATAATCGCCTGCCGTTTGATATATATTTTAATTGACTTGTCTCATATACGTAGTAAATAGCCGCAACACAATAACACTTAGTACATACAATAATAATGAAAGTAATACATTACCTGTCGTCTTCCAGTTCGTAGAACATATCTTTAGATGTATCATGTATGTATATCTTCACATGATCGCTATCCATGTATTGCATGGTTAATTGTTTTTGAAAACTTCTTACAAATAGTGCTTTTACAGTATCGATAGAGGTGACTTCGTTTGGTAGGAGCGCCCGTTTGGTTTCACTACGATATTGTAGAAAAACCAAACCTGCATCGAAATATAGAATTTTAGATTAACACAATATATAGTATAATGTAGTAAATTTTAAATGTATTAGAATATGTATTATGTTTAAGAGAAGCATATATATTTTTTACCCAGGGGGCGCTCCAGTGTTTTGCTAGGGGTACGAACAACGGGTAGTGAAGACCGTTGTTTCCCTCCGCGTCTAAATCCAGTGGATGAGGTTTCGACCTCCGACATTACGCCCGGGTCGTCCTCAAACAACATGTTGCTGGGAGCCGGCAGATACCGAGGTAGCGGCGGCTGCAGGAAATAACCTCATGTCATAATTTATCCCACATCAAGATGTCACTTAACCTCAGAATTTTACTTTCTGTTCAATATTCCTTTTTGATTTCTATCCAATAATGTATGTGTTTATTAAGTATTCATTCAAGGAGGATATATATTTCTTTCCTAGCATTTCGCATTTAAGAGGATCATTTACATTACATAAAATAGATTGATACAATCGTACTATATATTATATGGAAAAATTATGTATTTTATAATACTCTGTGGTATAATGGTCAGAAATAATTATAAAACAGCCCGTATAACTATAACTCTAGTTTCCAATTCATGTTTTTATTCAAATAGAAGTTATATCCAAGCCACAAAACCACGAACAGTTACAGTGACAAAATATAAATTAATTTTCACTCATATTTCATCGCACAGCTGATATTAAGGTCATATTTCGTGACATGCCATGCAAATTGTAATATTTTTATATGATTTCGAAATTTGCAACAATTAAAAGTTAATAATTTAAAAGGATTGTCTTTATATTAATTTCTTCGATTGCTTATTTTTTATAATGCAAAGCTCTGAAAAGATGACAAGTGAAGTGCACACAATTTTTTTGTACGGAACCATTTATTAGTTCAGTTTATTTTTAAGCGGCCTTCTATCGCATTGTAGCTTCTTAAATTATAAGCGACTGCCAAAACTATCACTGTATACAAAAAAAAACTTACATACCATCGCAAAAAATAACCACGATATTGTGCATTTAGTACTTCGAGTAACGTAAACTAATTTATTTTATATGTTATAAGTTTTTGCATAACAAAAGCTTTACAGACGGAATAAGTTAATCTTCATCAAAGGCAAATATTGCAAAGTAAAAAGGTATTATGCGAGTTAATTTTAACTTGTAGTAAATATATTATTTAAGTAAAACATGTGCTTGGAAAATAGAATCGTTTTATATTTTTTCATTGCCTTTGTAAGGATAAATATAATAGGATACTTTGCAACAAAGAGAAAAATTAAACAGAGATAATCTTCCAGGTATATATAGAATATAATACTAGTTTCAGTGCAATGTAACTGAAATATTTCAAAGTACAAAGTGAATTAAAGGTTTACACAGAATAAAACATCACTGAGATGTAATTTAATATACTAAAGGACCGTTTATAGCTTATAAGACTTAATTTTACGCAGAGTATTTAAAACAGAATTAAATATATACTTGTATTAATATTATATGAACAATATATTGTTTTATAAGAAACTATATACACATACATATGAACCAACAGTTTGTCTTTAAACTATCGACTTACCTTTTTCATTCTAGGATATATTTGTGGATAAGGCTTCATAATGCGATTTTTATCAGGAACAGCGTATTCTGGAATGTTCACGTTCGCAACACGATATCTCTAAATTTTTATTAAAGAAAAAGGAGTTTTAAATTAAAATAAATAATAACATATAATAGTAAAATAATGTCACTATTGCTAAATCATGGAAAAGTATGACACTGAGAATTAATAAAGACGTTTTCTAGTTTGAAAGTATATTATTTACATTTAACTTATACTGAATAATATTGTTAAAAATCCAGTGTGTGTGAAGTGTGCGTTGAAGCAATGTATGAAAACAAATATAAAAGATTTGAATTGTTTTTAGAAGGTCAATTAATTTGGCATGTTATCTTTTTTCATAACCGTATGGTTATAAACAAAAATCAAACCTTTTACAGTTGGATGTTTTAAATTACAAGTAAAATTTACTGAAACGCATGATTCTAAATCCAAAATGGCCGACGACCCAAAATGGTGGACTATGTTTGAGAAATAGTATACAATGGGTTAAAAGAGGCACACATTAAAATAGGTTATATCCAAAATATCAATTTTTTTTTTCTTAAAATGTATTAATGAAAAATTTAAGAATGGGTCAAGGAAAGTACTCCGTCTGACATTTGATATTCAAATGATTCCAAAAAATTAAATTAATAACATATATGTTTTAACAGATAACATTTCAGTTACAAAAAGAACATAATATAATATGTTTCAACTAAATTATACTCAGTAATATTTATTACATAATTTATGCGATATAAAAGCTTGTCATGAGTTTTACTTGTTACGTCATGTAAATTGTTTAGTATAATAAATTTAATAAAAAATCGAATTTTTACTATACTTTTAACCGTTTTATTTTTAAATTGATTTCTAATATATGTATTTGCTTTGGTTTTTTAATGCTGGCGTGCGTAAATTGTTTTTCATAAATGAGTACTACACCCTATAATATAATGCCATTTATAACTTTTTGCTAACTTAACCGTTATTTTCAAATAATGATCGAAGCTCAATCACACCGTTACTTGTGACATGTGAGCGAAACGCTATTCGAAATAGTCGTGATAGTTTAAAATTCTAACATTGATTGATGAAAGAATGAAAAGTTTTTTATTTGTTACTATTGAAATATGCAGTTTAATTTTTAACTGTACTCAAAAACCTTTTCAAACGGTAATCTAAATATGTTGGCTTTTGTGCTATTTTCACAAAGAGGTTTTAAATTTACCGGTTGTATAATCTTGGTTTTATTAAATTTTTCGCTTTATGATAAATTGCAAAGAATACTTTCAAGGATCTCAATAACCATTTAATGAGATACAAATTTGACTCTTTTATATTATTTTATTATTAAATTTCAAAATAATATATGGTCTCGATAATTTATTTCACTGAAAGGTGAATTAGGAGCGAAATGTTATTCCAAAGCAATATACGAAATTTATTAGTAATCTATTTCACTAATACAGAGCATGACGAGTATTTTGGTACGAGAGAGATGAGGGCGCCAATACCGGAGTCATACCGAATAAAGTTATTATAAAAATTAAGAAAATATAAACCAAAATTGTATTTAGATAATAATAATAATTTTCTTTAAAACCTTTCAGTGTCATATCATATTTATGATGTAGCAAAAGTTGTAAAAAGTAAACAGAACCAGGGAACAACATACAAAAAAATATCTCAAAGTAATAAAAAAATTATTGGTATAAAGTAATAAAAATATCTTTCAACTGTGGTCAATATTTCATTCCCAGAAAAATTTGGTTTGTTTTTTAGAAACGAGTCCAAAATAGTTTGTTAAACTTCTTTGACTCGAAGAGAAAATTGTTTGCTCTCAAAAAAAAATACGATGCAAAAAAATGGACCGAATTGCAATATCAATTTATCTGGACTTCTAAAATCTGTAGCCAATATTGTTCGTAGATAGAAAGTTATTAAAAGTACTACGATTAAAACTAAATAAAAAATCGGTCCGCTTTTCTGAATTTGTATACAATTTACTGAAGACGACGGCAGCAGCTCCTTTGCAGCATTTCCCGAGCTATAAGGAATATCTACACTTACCTCCTCATCGAGTCCAGTGATCGCGCTTTGCTGTGTATACAAATGGTTGCCAGCAAGTGTGTGTCGTCGGGGATCATCTCGTCGGGAGGGCCGACCCCGCGGCGGCCCCCGTCCAGCCTCTGTGTCAGACTGACCACCTAAACATAAAAATCATATTAAAATCGTAGTATTGTATTTGTGTATAATAAATGTATTTATGGATATCACTTTTAAATGCAGTACAGTCAGTCAAAAGCTTACCTCACTCATTACTTACGTTACAAATGTTTTTATATATAAAATAATGTTCGATATAATTTTCAACGCTGAAATAAAATATTTAAGTATCGTAGAAGATTAACAATCGATAAGGAATACAGATTTGAACAATTTTAGACTAGGGAAGAAGGAAAAGGTGACAAGGGGAGTTTTTAATAATGAAAACAATTTATAAACATATACAACATTCTTATATGATTGTAGCGTCTTGTTTCACCCTCTTTGTGCTTCGATTGTCGTCGTCATCATTTTTCTAATGAAATATGAGATCAAAATTATGAAGTATGACTGTAAACAGGAATAAATAAAATACCACTCGTGCTCGCAACGGCACGAGTATTTTGGGGTCGTCATGACTGGCCACAGTATTGGCAATGTCATGCTTGTCTTTTCCGCTTCCGATATATTTCATCTTCTTTCTTCTCTGTAAAATATAGATATGTTAAAACAAATAAATTACTACTTATTTGATTTAGAAACATCGCTTCAAGCAACCAGCGGTAGTAGTAAAATTAAAACACATAGCACATACAATTCTTAGAAAGTTATAAGCACCAGCAAAGTTTCATAGAATTTATTCGCTCGAGCTATTCGCACATTTTTTATAGAAAAGCCTTAAGGAAATTTTGTATTAAGAAATAAATACTTACTCATAAATTCGTTATATTGTTCTACAGCAACAATACGTATCTGACGTCGAGCTTCAGTGACACTTATCTCAGCTGATTTACTTCTCTTGAATTGGAATGTGCGATATTTATAATTATGCAATTCAAAAAGCATATCTTCTCGAGCACAGTAAATTAATCTGGGACCTCTATCGCAGTCTATTTCGCAACACGGGTTACACTGAATATAAAATTAATTATTAGAAAAAATATACAAAACTTTTAACAGATAACTAACGTTTTATTATAGCTTACACAATTCGAAACCAAATAAAATTTCATGATTTTTTCTAAACAGTTATCAATTTTGACAAATTTAAGTTAACTTGTTGATGACGATGTATTGCAACTAGGAAGCGAGTGACTCTAACAGAGTTCTGAAATGCAATGCCAGGAGACTGTCAGATGGATGGTTTATAAAGTTTTTGCATTTGAAACATTGGTATAACCTTTTATCTCTCTTATATATAGGGATGCAGCGTAAGATAAAAGAGACCAGATATAATTATAAATACGTCTATCCCCACTACTACTATGTGTAAGCCTGAACTATGTACTATATATGTGTATTTAGTTCCGGGATGGTGCCCTATATTCCAGAAATCAAAGGGGTGGGGATATATTCCTGTAAAATATTAAAGCCTTTGTACATGGTTGTAAATATTTTATCATATAGTTAATTTAAATAGAACTTCTAAGAAATTCTGACTCAATAGACTTTTGAATACGCCTTTGTGTTGCTTTAATTTCTGAATATTCAGTTATTCGTCTAAATTAATTAATATTGTTCCTACAATAATGTAGAATACAAAGAACTAATTAGTTAGAATTATGTCAAACAGTGCAAAAAAAAAATAGTGCAATGTCCGTTTTAATATATAAATTTATTATGAATAACTTGCTTATACTGTTGAACTTTTGCTATTGGCTGTTGCTGTAATTTGGGGCATGCGCGTTTGTCAATGAGTTTTCTTCCGCCTCCGTTGCCATGGTGACCGATATTATGACGTTGTAGTGTGCAACAAGTAAACGCACGGGGCAGGCACCACTACATTCAAATATTTGTTACACTGATATAAAATGTTTCACCTGAAAAACGCTAATTGCTTGTAACATTATTATAAAACGAGTTGAAGCGGATTTAAACTATTACGTCCTACGCGCAATATCACGTGGAATTTGTGTAAAAATATTATGTTGGAAATTTAATGGCAGGTGCAACGACGGCACTGGTTATTTATGGTCAACTGATTTTAAACTTATTAGTTTTAACATTTATTCGATCTTTTTATTAGGGTCAGAATTATGTCAAATTTACAAAAATAAATATTATCGATATATATCTTTTTCAAAACCCGTCGCACAGATTCGTCATGAAAATATTTAGTACCTAAATCTCATTTGAAATTGGTGCCAAATAATACTTAATTGGCTCATTATTATAAGAAAGTACTTATAAAGTATTTAAAGTTTGTCAATATATTCTTATGTAAGTTGTAACCGTGTTTTAAAACTTTGATATTCTAAATTATTTCAGTAATTCTTGTAGGAATAAAACCATTTCTTTATAAAATAATTTCACTTTACACCATGTTCTTATGTATGTTTTCCAAAGCATAGTTATATGTTTGAATGAAAAAATACCTAGAAGTAATAACCTATCATAAATTAATCCTTCTTAACGTTGAAATATATATGATAAAATATATTTCATCGTTATAACCATATTATTAACGATACATTGCATATTTTTCCCAGAACCCGACTTTATAAAATTTTTAGCAGAAAAATTATATTATTTATTATTTTTTCATTCCAATAGCTCCTAAAGCCTGCCCTATTCTCGACATATATGTTTCTTTATCGCTATATCCCCTGGAAAAATATTAGTATAGTATTCGGACAGACGACCCAAAATTTCAATGTCCTCTAAAACGATAAGTAGTTTGAGTATCTCTAACAAAAATGAAATATTCAATTTGATTATTAGAATTTCAATGGCCCGCAGCGAAAAAATAGGCCCGTAATAAATAGTTCAATTTATACTGGATAGACAATAATTAAAAGAAGTTTTTCAGGTGATTAATTTTCAATCCTAGTTCGACATGACGGTAATGAAACATTCCTTTACTTTCAGGTCAATCAAAAACGCAGTACTCTCACGTGTTTAAGCGACAGGATATTTATCGTTAAACCCATCAAGCACGCTATTAACTTGTTTCGGTTAAAGCTAAAAGCAATTTTCTAACGATAATTGCTTCCTGCAGTCCATAATCAGATCTATTTAAACTATGTTACCAATAACGGCAACCGAGCAAATTTTCCTTGCAGCGGAGGGTTCATGGAAAACTGTTTTCAATTAATTTTCTTGTTTCGCGTACTTTTTGTGTCAGTGGTTTGTTTGGTCTCATTGTCTCTTTCTATGCCATCGCAAGACCTAACCAATGACAAAGTTCAATAAATTTCTACTATATTGGCAAACTTAAGTTTTATACTATTGCCTGTTATTTGTAAATCGTTTGTTTTATTAATATATATGTTAAATACATTTCAATGCATATAAGGCACTGCTGCATATTGTTTAATATAGAAAATTTAAAATGAAATGTAGAATGAAATAACATAGAACATATAATTTTAAATGACCTACAAATTATAATGGCCATTTTGTGACAGAGAAAAACAATATTTGTATTGTATGTCACACTTATTATTCTTACTGATGCTTAATACATTAATATTAAAGTGTTAAAATTTTACCTATAAAGCTTATTCAAAATGTATTCCATTTGCTGCGATACAGTTATTTAAAATAGACCAGTAATCGAAAGCAACAAGCATTTTTAAATCAGAAAATTCTTCCCTGCAAATAGTATGAACTGTCTCAGGAACACTAAATTATAACGGCTTCCAGAGTAAACATCACTGTCCAAAACTGGCTCTGTATCTTAATCTAGTGGATCAATATCATGACTAGATGACGGCCAGTCATCAGCTTCGATGACGTTCAAAACGTCTGGTTTAAATAGAGTTAGGTAAATTCATGAAATGGCGTGTTCTTGGTAAAATCATAACACTTGGTTAATGGACATGGTGATGTTTAAGTCCTTATCAAACTTTTAAAGAATGATATCTTTGTAAGCCGTGCCGATGATTTGATTACATATTCACTAAGTGTATCCTTAGTCACCCCTTCACTTTTAAAACCCCACTGAAGCATCACTGAAGTCGAATAATGCCGAAGTTATACTCTGTTGACTAATTGGTAAGCTACGATAAAACTTTCTGCATGAATAATATAGTTTCATTTGCTAAGATATTGCTCAATTGTCAAAATGTCTCAAGCGTAAACAAATTTTATTGTGACTTTCCTTTGAGTAATGCTTAAATAGTAGTATTGATTTTAAAACCTTACTCGTTTTTTATATGCTACAAGTTCTAAGACACACTTTAAAATTCGAAGTATGGTTCTAGATTTAAGTCTCTGAAACTGAGTTAAAATGTATGACATTTCGCCAGTTTCTTTGAATTCTTTAACTTATTATTTTGGCTACTTTTGTCGTACAATGGTGCCTAGTTGGTCAGAAATATACGTCAGAGGAATAGAAATTTTCAATGTAGCTATCAACATTTGACTACAACCCGTGTATGGAGGATACTAAGAATTTTATTTGAATCCATACCTAATTTAAGTAATGCAATCATAGTGATTCATTTCACTGTCTCACTGCACTCCATATTAATATCACCCAATTATAGAACATATTGGCGAAAAAATATAAAAACCTAATTAACTTAAAAAAGTGACAACTTCCAAATGAAAAAGTACTTAATATTTGGCATTGTAATTGTAACCAAAAAATATCATTCTATTTATATTATACCAAATTTTAATTGCTCGTTTAATTGAGAGTTAGTATTCACTCGTTACAATATGATATTTCAGAATCTTATTTTGTATACTTCCAAATCAGGTTGAGTTTGTAACATCATAGTACATATAAATCAAAATCTGAACGTTTGTATTGTAATAAAAATCTTATAACAACTTCTTAGAAGGTTGTATAAATAAATAAAAATAGATTACTTGTAAAGTATTCATATATGTTCACAATATTTTTCAAAGTAACACAATATTTTCAATTCTCGGAATAATAATTATTTTTCTTTTAAAATCGCATCTGAACTTGTGATGAGTATTGCATTCAAGT